CCTCGCTCCACACCTGGACACGACGTCAGACCATGCCACAATACTCACTTTAGTAGATTGGGAAGGCTATACTGAACCCCTCCGCAGGCTCAGATTCGACACGTTGGATAAGGATCTTTTCCTCCGTCTCCTATCCATCAATATTGATGGTATTAGTCCAATTCCACTAGCTTCCACCAGGGAGGCGCTGGACAGGTGTGCTATAGAGTTAACAGAAGCTATTCGTACAGCATACACGGGCGCAGCCCGCCGCTCACTAGGCCATGGTAAAGGGAACCCATGGTGGGATATATCATGCAAACAGGCTCGCCAAAGATACAAGAATGTCCGTTGCGGACCCATAACAGAGGAAGGTGTTGCCAGAGAGAGAAAGGAGTATCGGGGCACGATTGCAAGGGCAAAGAAGGCATACTTCACTAACAAGATTGCCGCAGCCAGTACGGGCAAGGACATCTTCGCTCTGACAAAATGGCATAAGTCCACGGGTAACTTCCGATCCACTCCCCTTAAAGATCCTAGGTCTCCAGACCGTCCTCCTGCAACATCGTTGCCAGAAAAAAGGGAAATTCTACTCGGTAATTTACTCACAAACCTGACCGTAGTGGATGATATCCCTTTGGATACCCCGACAGTTGCAAAACGCTCCATTTCGTTCCCACCACTCTGCCAGGACGAAGTTCAGGATTCGATTCTTAGAGCAGGAAATACAGCCCCTGGGGTTGACGAGATCCCGACTGCCATATTGCGTATAGCTTGGCCCCTCATCGGAGAACATATTTTCTCACTCTTCAAAAGCTGTCTCACTCTCGGTCACCATCCTGTCTGCTTCCGACAAGCTGTTTTAATCATGCTTCAGAAGCCAAACAAGGCAGACCTATCTTCTCCTCGCTCATACCGCCCGATAGCACTTCTCTCCGCACTTGGGAAGGTGTTGGAGCGGCTGATAGCCAGACGTATAGCTTGGATTGCGACCCGAAATACGATACTCACCACCCAGCAGTTTGGTGCTCTCCCAGGAAGGTCAGCCGTCGATCTCACCACCTGTCTTACACATGATGTCGAAAGAGCTTTGAGCGAGGGGCGCACGGCTAGCATGCTGACACTCGACGTGAAAGGAGCCTTTGATGCTGTGCTCCCAGGCCGGCTTGTCCGGCGTATGCGGGAGCAAGGCTGGCCAGAGTTCCTTGTCAACTGGGTAGCCTCTTTCGCTACTAACCGTTCAGTACAAATCCGTCTCGATGGCGAGCTAGGTCCTCTCCAGTCAATCAACTGTGGTCTCCCACAAGGCTCCCCTGCCTCACCTATCCTTTTCATGCTCTATATATCCCCTCTGTTCAAGCTGGGAAACGTCTCTAGGAGGTTTGGGTATGCTGACGATGTCGCAATTCTTGAGACCCAAAAATCACTTCACGACAATTGCATCTCTTTAAAAATGGCACTGAAAGAAGCTTTAGAATGGGGGATAAAGGAGGGCATCACTTTCGACCCAGCTAAGGCAGAGCTTCAGCATTTTTCACGTAAACGAGCTGATAAGAATCCGGGCAACACCCCGTCGGTCAAGCACGGCAATTTCTCCGTATCTGAGAAAACAAATCGCCCATACACCAGATGGCTGGGAGTATATTTTGACAAAACACTTTCTTTTAAATGGCACGTCCGCATCCTTGCAAATAAAGCTCTAGTGGTGGCAAACGCGCTCCGCAGCCTTGGTAACACACTAAGTGGAGCCCCCCCTAAACTCCTACGCCAAGCAGTCACCGCTTGCGTACTACCTATCGCCTATTATGGAGCTGAAACATGGTGGCCAGGCCTGACACGCGCTATCTCCCCAACTCGGACCGTCTCAAACTTAGCGAAGGGACATCTCTCCCTCCTCCAAAAGGTTGTTAGAACTAGTGCAAGAGCAATTCTTCCAGTCTACCGAACAACACCAGCTAGCGCGCTATAGAGAAGCAGGTCTTTCCCCTCCAGAAATCGCGCTGGACTCAAAACTTCGTCAAGCATCCCTCCGTATACAACGCCTCGATCCACGGCACCCTCTTCGCCGCCGGAACATTTGGATCCTTAGCCAACAGAGACGTGTCTCACGCCTTTCCAGGTGGGCCCTAAGCTTCCCGCCTACAGAGTATCTGGACCCTCTGGTCAACCCCCCTTGGTTAGCAAAGGAGAGTTGGTTCTCAAGGACTAGACGGGTCACTGCTGCCTCACATCAACTTCCTGAGGGGATCCCCTCACATGACTTAGTTATATATTCCGATGGCAGCCGCCTAGAATCAGCTTCGGGACCTTGCGTCGGAGGTGGTTTTGTAATCTTCCAAGCAGGCCACATGATCTGCCAGAAAAGAATACCTCTAAGCCCTTCACTAGAGATATTTGATGCAGAAGCTGCAGCAGCTTTAAGTGCTGTAGAGACAGCATTAGATCTTACCTCTACACGCTTTGCAAACAACTTATGGGTCCTACTCGATAACCTAGATGTAGCCCGACAGCTTCTAACTACTCCGATCTGCTCTTCCCAAGACGTATTCAAAAAATTCGCGTTCAAAGCACAAGAATGGCCAGGCCGCACGCGTCTCCCCCATACTATCCCAGGCGAAGTTCGGGTTCATTGGATCCCAAGCCACTCAGGACACTTAGGCAACGTTCTAGCAGACAAAGCAGCGAAAGATGCTTTGTCCATGCCGTATCCGTCCCCATCTCCACTCACAATTGCCTCGGCAAAAGTTTGGGTCAAGGACATATCTATAAAAGCTCACAAAGAGTATTGGGCAAAGCATGCCCCTCAGTCATATCAAGACTTGGAAATCGAGTATCCTGTGGGCTGCCCCGCAGAGCTATCACTACCTCGACATCATACTGCCCATATATACGCTGCTCGCTCCGGACATGGAGATTTTGCAGCCTATCATAATCGCTTCAACCACAACCCCGCCCACAATACCTGCAGCTGCAACAAACTCAAGTCCCCTGCACATTTCCTAAACTGTAGACTAATCACATCAAGCCCCCTCAAACCACCGAGGGGCTGTTCAGACAAATGGAAGTTCTTTCTTGGGACCCCCACAGGAGCTTCAAAACTTGCACAATGGCTTGAAAAATCACAGTTCTTCACTAAAATTTGTCCCCGGATTCCTCCCGTGACATCGACAAATGTTGCTTAACAGCAGTTCAAAGAAAATTAAAATAAAAGAATGCCCATGTGCTAAATTTTCCTTTCTTCCCTTTCCTTTCCTCTAATTTAATTAAGCATATTGGGAGGATATTCTTCCCACTATGACTGGCTCTCATTCCCTCTAGGTGGCATAAACTTCTGTAGACAGCGTGACGTAATAAGTCATCTGACACCGTATTTCATCTCGGGTCCCTTCTTTTTTGTTTGGAGAAGATGGGTGCCCCCGGTTCTAGAGCAGTAAGCTCTGGCGTCCTTTTCCAGTCCGGGACTAGTGTATTATAATCATTAGTTAGACGTTAAATAATAAACAAACAAACAAACAAACAAACAATTCCATCCTTGAGACCGGGCACAATATGAATGAAAGCAGACTTGACTAAAGTGGCATCTGCTCTGAGAAGTGGAGCCTCCTCTGAGAGGCGGAAGATAGCCTCGGGGCCCTTGGTTGTTGCAGCTTATTTTGGAACAGGCGTGCGAGGGGTGCGATGCGCAGAGTTGAGCCGAGACGAAGACGGCGCCGCGGGGACGATTGCGGGAGGGCCTGTGGCGGTCGCTGCCCAATTTTTTGGTTGCTTCGAAGTAGGAGGAGGTGGTCGTGGTGGAATGTTTTGGCCGGGCTTGGGTAGGGAGCCCGACGATTTGGGTTGTACATGGCTGTCGAGTCGCATAGGGTGCCCGGAAGCAACTGCTAGGAGAAACGCGTCCATTTGCTCACGCACGATGGACTGAATGAGAGGATTGGACCCAGGAAGCTCGACCCTTTGCCACGCGCTGGACAAGCTCGAGCTCTTCAGCGACGTGCCGGGCAAAGGGAGGTGGTTGTTGTGATTTGGCCATCACGAGCGCGATGACCAAACTATGATGCACTTTATGAGATATTTATTCCAGGCCTGTAGCTAGATAAGACTTATAAGTCCCTTGTGTCGTCATATACTCAATAGGATTATGAATATACATAAATACATGTGTGATAGATAAAGCTTATTATCGGATGTATTAGGTGGTTTGGATCAAAATTTTCATTACCTTTCTTCACGAGCTTATGTGAATATTCATCCATAAATACAGATCTTGTGTTAGGTCGCAATAGGTGGACTAATCTCTCTATCACGCGAAATCGATTTATATCAGATGCTCATCACCATCGATTGTATGTGAATTCGATGGTGTAACAAATATACAAACCCCTTAAAACCTGTCATTTTTTGCGTGTAATACTTTGAAGTAGACAGTTTCTTGTCAGTTGATCAGAGAGTCTTATGGAACCCAGTATATAGCAGACGTTGAACTCTATCCGAATCCTACGTTGCTATTGACGACATGTGATCCCAGCACCCTCCACTTCGTAATTGAATTATTTAAACCACACAGATACTATCCGAATGCAGAAGACTTACGGAATTTCAATATCCAGGAAGGCTTCAACTTTGTAACTTAGGGAACAACACATGCGTCGTTTCCTTTTCCTGCAGACTAGCCGGGCGAAATAGCAACCACTCGTGAGTTACAAGAAACAATTATTCACAGCTCACAACCCCAATCTTGTAAAACAAGTTAATAATTATTTCCTTAGAACATAATTCTTCTATTTATCCTGGCGCGACTCTTGAGATCATTATACAATATTTCCTTAAGAATCAAATTGCTGACAAATTTGTATTAGCTTAGTCCATACAACCACACTTTTTGGTGCTGAATCTTAGTCTACAATTTAACCGCATCATAATACGGTTCTTCCCACCATTCTTGGATGCTAACGAAAAGATAAAGACAACCGGCTAGAATCTTCACCTTAGACAGACTAGATCTCACAAAACCAGTATCATTAATGGCAAACAAGGTTAAAATTTCACTCCGCAGTATTCAGATTCTCTGTAACTTTCTTTGTACGGCCCTAATAAGCGATGTAATCTCAGATGCATTTGCTGGAAACCCTTCAAGTGTAAACTACGCGATCTTTGTCTGTGTTATCGTGTGGATTGTCTGCTTGTATGGTATGGCCGGTACTTTGAAAGAGAGTATTCTACTTCCCAAAGCTATCCTAATTCTAGATTCTTTGGCGACTATTTTTGTCTTCATTGTCGGGGTTGTACTGGCTTCTAAGCTCCGTGTACACAGTTGTAGGAATGAGGTAGGTAAATTATTGGTGGTCAAACCAAGACTAACTAGTGATAGGCTTATCTTTTGAGTAACAGACTCGTCAATGGATCTCACAATCCAAGCAAAAGATGTCGCGAGCTGCAGGCTGCTACTGCCTTCTTTTGGTTCCTTTTCGTATCACTGGTGGGTTCTTTGATAATAGATGTAGTCGCTGGTGGAGATATTGTGTCTCTTAGACCCGGTAGAATACGAAGAAGCGTGCTCTCTATGTCTCAGGTTTGATTTTAAACGGTGGTAAGCCATCTTATTCTAAATAATGCCAATTTTTGTGCACAGCCACATTTTAACTAAAGGGTCTAACAAGTTTACTAGATTGATAATAAAATTTATATAATGTTATTTCGGCTATCTGAAGTTTGACATCTCCCAAGTCCTATAAATACTACAACGCGCTAGACAGCTATAACGCTTATCATACCTTACAGTGATGGCAATATGGGTATATATTTATAGGTCCAAGACCTGAATTTAATTCGAGGAAGGATTATTTGATCGAAATACCCCTAATTGTGATGTTGTGTTGACTGATACCGCAATTGAACCAATTCTGAGATACCTGTGATTGAATACAGTTTTGAGACTACAGGATACACAATGGTGCCTGTGTCAGCAATTTCGAAGGCTAGTAAGCAATAGAATACAATTACTTGGTATGTCGCCCTTTAAATCTGTGAAATACTTTTGGAAAGTTCAGTACTCTCATATCGCTGCTACCCAATAACGTTAGACTTTCGATCATTAACATGTTATTCATGACCCCACGTGAATATTTCCTTATGATATTGTGAAGCCATAGAGTGTATACTGTGATGAAAGCGTGGTTTAAATCTCTTGACTAAATTACATGTATATTATCTTGATCGTTACATGCCTTCATAATATTGTAGCGGTTTCCACGGACCCTGTTGCTTCAGAGTATTTCTCAGTTTTAAAGGTGGTGGGAACTGGATAAATCCACGTCATATATTTTGCCCAACCTGTTTTGGATAATCAATACTTGATGGAAAAAACTTCATCAGAAGGATAATGATAAGGGAGGGCGATTTACTCCAAAATGCAAATTTTCTCCCTAAGTATTTACCGGCATATGGGACAATAATCATGGTAAGAACATGCTCTAGCTGCTGAAGACTAGTCTCCCATTCATGTTGTGCATCCGATTGTTCCGTGTCAGATGAATCATTGCTGTAGTCAGATGAGGGAAGAGAATCAAGATCGTCATCTCTGTCGACATAAACATGCCGAATAAGCGTCGAGTTCTCCGGCATCTTCGGAGCTAGCGAAATTGTTAACGTATGGAAATGGAACCGCTCAATTGATTTGAACAGTCAGTCTATGTAGACATGTTCAAATTATAAAATTGTAGAGGTATCGTTGTAGGTGGTATTGCGTCAAGTAATTCAACCTAGGTTTCCAACCGGCTTCAGGAGCGAACGCAGCTAATTCTTTGACGCAGAAGCTTAGTCAGGTAATGGATCGGCCCGTCAATGGCCCATTTTTGATTAGCCAACAACTTCATGCTTCGCTCTTTTACCATCTCATATGTATGTAGAGATGGTAGAAGAACACACGATTAGTTTATTTTACACGAAAAAAACGACCTTGATTACTACAGAAATAAACACATTCATGATATTATTTGCAAACGCCAATTTCAAATGTGTTAACTTACGCATAGGGGGGGATTAAACTCAACACCTGTCAGTGATGTCTCCTACGAATTTCTAGCCCTCACTACAGATTCTGCGGAGCCTAGAATCAGTAACACCTTCCTCACTTCCATGAGGATTTTCAACAGAAGGTAATGACTGAGTGCCTGCACGCGGTGTCTACGAACCTAAGAATGAAATACTCTCCCAGAGCCAAGTTCATTCGAATTTCGCAATACCGAAAAAGTTGGCCCACAAGGGATTGACTCAAGCTACTCCATCAAATAGATTTCTCTTACCCAACGGGATCGATCTCCACTAAAACCTAATAAAATTTACAAGTAAGACTTAGTACACCTTCTTTCCAATGACTATACTTCTCTTCGACTATCTCTTGCCTTAGCTATCCACTAAATACGCGCCGACTTTTATACCCGGCAGAGGAAACAAAGATTGTCGCACAAGTCTGGGTGATAGTTTATTGGAATGGGCGTGAGAAGAACCAGGACAAGATTATAAGATGACACAGAGGATGGATACGATATCGATGGGCGTAAATATTTGAATTTTGGCAAGGAGTTTTCTAGACTGAGCTTTGTGCGCTCACCATATCTTCAATTCCAAGAGTGCAGGCGACACTATAAACAACGCCATAGTTGAATGGTGCGGTGGTACATCATCTGGGCTGGTCTCCCATATAGATTCTGAATTGCCTGGAATTATATCTTAGCTGAGATAGGAGACTGCAGGTTCGAATCCGGAAAAACAGAACCACATTTCTCGCGGTGCTGATTTGCATGGTTGAAAAAGGCATACTTGGATAATCAAAGGTTTTCAAACGTCCCTTTGACGTAAACTGAGGCAGGAGGGTCGACTGTTTATAAGCAAGCATACCTGATAGTGGTATTCGCAAATAAAATCCAGAGCATGAGTGTCTCTAACATCAAAGCCTTATCCAATATGTATACATCGCATTAGTCGTGTGTCATAGCTGGATAACTGAATACACAACAAAGATTTAAAAAAGAAAACTCAATCTCAGGGAAAACCCGTCTTAACCCAATCTGCTTTACAGTAATCGAGAGTTTCGACGAGATGGTGATTGGGAAGAATGGTATTGGCAAGTTTTTGGTAGAAAATTAGACCCTCTGAGATTTTACGACCGCACAACCTGACGTGTTCGATGACTTATACCCTAAATATGAATCGTAGGCAGGATAAAACCTGCCTGATATTCGTATTAAAATAACTGACTTCACTCAACACCTCGAATTTTCCTGAATAATCTTCCCCAGTTAATTCATCTCACCGCCTACCAAAGCACTCCAAATTCCAAAAGTCTTACCCCCAATCTAAGATACCCGTGGACCCTCGTCCCACCGCAACTTTCGTGCGCTGTGAGGGTATGGTAGAAGTATCGGCCTTCTATTCATCTACACCCCAGTATGGGGAACCAGCAACTCGATCAGCAATGAATCGCCACCGACAAATAGGAGCGAAACTTCGGGGGCACATCAACTAGAGCATTATACAAAGGCTGAGACATTTGAGCCACGATATTGAGCTCTTCAACCCATTTAAGGCCTCCGCCGTTAGGGGTACGGTGGTGACTAGACTGGAGGGATGAGCTGTCTACGATGTTTCTACATGGTGAAATTGAAAGAAGGGTCAAGTAAAGCTACAATGGAGGAAGAAAAGGGACGGAAGATGAAGAGGCCTCATTGGGCAGCTGTATGAGGCATCTAATGAAGAAAACTGCTTATAGATGAGATGAGGCATGACTGGGATTGAACGGAAAAAATAAGCTGGAGATTGAGAGAGTATTAAGGGCTAGGGCGCGTGATGGCTGCGTATGAGGACGAAATTGCGTTCCGGTGCGTAAAAGTCGGATTTTCTGGATGGTTGGACTTAACATGTTCAACATATGGGTGAAGTCTACTAAGGTCCGGTTTTCTAGTTTGGACGAAGTTTATTATAATTATATGGTAGAGAATCTGATCCAGCCCAGCCCACTCCTACTCAAGCTTGCCTAGCAGGTTAATTTTAAAGACAAACATCCACCAGAATTTTATTGAAAGATCCGTGATATTCTTATATTTTGGCGACAACTTGGGTTAGAATTTCATTCACTTATATATATCTTTGTGATATCAATATACTACTTAGATAAATTTTCGTTGTACGGTGTTAGATTTTTTCTTTTCCGCAGGGTATACACAACTAGAATAAGGCACAAAAGAATAACTGTAGATCGTGATGATTCGTGTGTTGGACAAGGGATCAACATGATATAGAACTGCCACTTTGAATTTCCAATGGAGCTTACTCCGGTTTGCTGGTCATTATTTGAAGCTTTTCCTGTAAGATGACTTCCTTGTAAGAGGCAGACTAGGCCAGGTCAATAATTAATGATCAGTGCGCTTTGATAGCTTTGTTCAACCTATTAATTAGTTAAAGTGTGAAATCACGCTTATAGATAAGGTTTCCAAAGGGCGTTATACCAATAGCAGTAAACCGAAGGTCTTGTATAGTCGCATGTTCATCATATATGATTTGGAATCCTGGTGGAAAATTTAACTAATTACCTCCGAACCATTCTCCCCTACAATAGTGGTCATGTCGTTTTTGTTAGCTCTTTAATACATACTTAATCCTGAAGCATCATAACTCAAGGCTCTTCTGGCTCAGCTTCATAGTTAAATCCTCTTTGTCAGGTCTTTCACTTCAGTATTCTGCAAAGGTTTTCTGCTTCTCATGGATGGACTCAGGGGGTAATATACTGAATTATTCGGCATTAAATCTTATGAGTTTTTGTGTGCCTCATTACCGTTACCGGTCGAAAACAAACGTCGTGCCGGCAACATACATTAGACTACGAGGGCCAAGTACCGGTTAGTTCAATCTATATAGACTAGCCGACGTGCCAACACCCCCAGGAGAGCCGAGCAAAATAAAAAGTGAGGCCCAGCTACTACACAGCACCTATGAAAGTTTTAAGAAATTTGAAAGGTTAACTGCCTCTGCCAACCTTCCAGTTGATGCCCTTTCAATATTGAGTCATAAATTTCAGCCACTTCCTAAGCTTCCGCGGCCCGGCATCTCTCCCATCTTAACTCACAAGCTTTGATCTCTTCATGGTGAATTAATATTCAGCGTCCCAAGATGCCGTAATCTGATGAATCTCCGTCAACAGTGGTGTTGATAGATAGGATCGCAGGTTGTGTCGTAGCTTTTTTTAATGTATAGGAAGAAGTTAAAAGATTTTTTGGCGTGTCGCGTGGGAGTGCGATTTTCTGCTGAGCCTAATATCGTCTTGAATGGTCTAGATTATTTTGGTGATGATTTTTGTGGTCAAATATCTCTGCAATCCTGGTGTTCAGACCAAAATCAGCCAAGCACCACTTCTGACAAGAATCTCAGTCTGTGAAAAATCGATCCTGTCGTTTGGGAATGGCTGGATCTTGGCTCTGAGCGGAGTATTTCACTTTCAGGTTTGTAGAGAACGCTACTGATGGGTATCTTGGCTTCATTCTTTTAGCTTAGAACCTTTTAGTGATGATTAATTTATTTTTTCGGCTCAGAATACTGCAACCTGGGCGGTTAAGATATCGCCAGCTAATCTTGGGAGTATAAAATAAATAGATTCTAGAAAATAACCTGGCTAAAGCGACGTAAATTACACGCTGTTTTCCAATAATTAGTCTAGTATGACTTTAACCTTGTTGTCTACGTCTCTTGCCAACTTGGGCCGAGAATCCGGTTTTAATAGCGGTCACAGATCTACGGGAACCGCAAGAGTTGCATGTTATGAAGTACAGCCTATTTTCACCCTTGTTTAACTCCGTGTCCGGTGACCTACAAGTTTTGCAAGTAACATACTCCACTGTAAATTACTTAGCTATAACTTGGTGGAACCTTAGAGCAGTACTCACTGATATATCTTCTTAAAACGTTTTCAATTTGTTTCTGCTGAAAACGGCCTTTAATAACAAGTCTTCTGCTTCCATCAACCGATCCGCTTGTACCCAATTCTGCAAAAAGATACGAAGTGACATGCTCATCTGTCCTCTTCATTCTTTTGCAGATTTCGGCTATGTTAGCAAAGATTGTCTTTTTGTTGCCTTCGCGTAGACACTGAGGAGGTGGTATTTTGTAGCTCTTAGACCCGCTCGATAAATGATCTGGGTTCTTCTGGGCGAGGAGGATGAAAAACCTCGAAAGAAGCTGGTCATATGGAATTTTTACCTCGGAATGGTGCTGCCAAACACCAGTACCTTGTTCCATATCTCCGTCAACTTCTGTAACTCCAGTTGCTACGTTACCCTCTTTGCTTTCTATTTCCAGAGCTGCGATCTTAGCCGCGAACTCATCTTCGGGAAGGTCTTTTGGTTTCTTGCTTTTCTTTTTCTTTTTCATGACACTCAAATCGAGGCCCCCATCTTCGACGGGTGCAGCAATTTCATCTTCATCGGCTGGCTTCTTGACTTTCTTTTTCTTTCTCATACCCTTGAGCATATTGGTTACGTCATCTTCACCAGCTGCGTTTTTTTCGGGATCTTCAACTTGGATGGGGTGTTAGGAAGGATTAAAATTTCTGCTTATCTCGCGGACATACTTGATAAGCTTGGTTCTGTGTGCTCCCGCTCATTATTTGTCACAGATGTAGAATCTTTAGCGTCATCCTCAAAGTTTTCACCAAATGATACAGCCTTAGTTGGCTTCTTCTCTTGAGAAATTGATTCCTGCACCGATAATTGGCGTTAGTAAGAGGTTGATTTGGGAATTCTTGGTTCTCGTGTTGGAGGGGTTAGACAAGACTCACCGTGTCGGCCATGTTAGATTTTTGTTAATTTATGTAATTGTTATCACGAGAAAGGCTTGTGGTTGATAAAGAGCAATAGATCTTATGCTTGGGAACACATCACCTCTTAATTCGCCTTGTTAGATTCTAGGGATTGAGCGATAGTGATTTAGATGTGGGCTGAGTAAGATAACAGTCACGTGTAATTTTTGAGATTGGCAGTAAATCAGTTTTCACATTTATGGAGAGGTGATAGGAGCCTGTGCGTTTAAATTCTGCGATGCCGGATACAGTACATTAACATCCTCTTACATATGGCTTCAGTTAGAGTGGGAGATATCGAAGAAGTTGGCTCACGACCAATAATTCAACAGTCCCTATTACATCAATCTACTACTCCCCAGATGCATTACGACCAAGGCTTTGACATGTCTACACGCGAAGCCTTGCACATTCTGACCTTTACATCAACATCTCTCTTCAACATGATCATTTGAATAAGTTGGCCTTCAAATCGACGCCCACGATAATGTTAATATTACTAAGTAGAGCCAAGACCTAGGTTCCGGAAAATTAGCCAGGAGAACTTCAATTTTCGATGAGTCTACTGCAATCCCGAGGGCCCTGGACGGCACAAAAGAAGTTGGGCTAAGCTACGATACAGCAATCACGTTCTGCCAGGGCTTTTCTGAAATTTCAGCACGAATTTTCTCAAAGGACCGTATTAATGATATACCGTAAGGTACGAGTAGGGTACAAGTAGATCATAGGTGTGGAGTATAGTGGTGATTGTTATGAGGAGGAGGTTTGAAGTCAGCGTAAAGTATAGGGTTCACAGAGGAGGTAAAGGTAAAGTGAGTAATAGGTGAGGTTGGTACAATAACGGCGGTCTTCTTTAGAGAAGAGATAAGTATGTGAGCAATAGGTATCAGTATAAACAGAAGACGTTGCGTGAAGAAGAATACTCCTTCACGCCGGGTATACATGTACATCATATAATAGGACAGCCCTAAGCTCTGTCTCGAACAGTATTACTACGCAACCCCTATGAAACGACCCTATGTTCCTGAGCCTGTCCTAATTGTTTGAGAATTTGATCTAACCCCCAGTTGTGTTTTAGAATGGAACTCCCCACGAGACACCATCCTAGTTTCCGCCACGTTTATCCATGAAAACTTTCGGGAATGAGTTGGAAGGAAGCTAGAAAGGCAGAGTGTGAATTTCCCGAGGTATCCACAAGTCTGTAGCGCCCAGCTTGCCGGTTTATTTGAACATTTTCGAAGGGTCGCGATATCTTCAGATTTAGTCCTAATGTCGGTAGTAGAAGAGGCCCGTACCCAGTAGCTTTTGCGATTTTTCCCTGCTGCCATACACTCGCAAATGGCCATCGTTTCGTTAGCTTGAGAGGGGTGGTGCTGTTTGAGGGGAACTGTATAGGAGGCATAGGAGGGGATATACTACTGGTATATGTATCCTTGGTGTATAGGCAGAGAGGACCTGCATGTCCTTCGTAGTCATAGATTCAGAAAGGACAATAAAGCGAATTAGTAATAAATTAACAAGTGGAAATAAATTTTTTTTTACCTGAAAGAATCCCACTCAATTCTCATTCAAGTCGGTTTACTATAAAATTAAAATTATGTTCATAAAGTCAGCTATGCCGTGCCAGTCCTGCGCACAAGCGACTCATGGCTCCTTTTCCTCCTATTTTCCGACGCATGAAGGGGGACAATTCTCAACACCTGCAGTGGTGTCCCCTACGAACCTCCAGCTCTCACTGTAGAGTCTGCAGAGCTGAGATTGAGTAACAACATTTCAACTTTGAGCTGAGTTATCTCCCCCTCCGTCAAAGATACGCTTCCGATAACACACAAGACGACCAAGACGATGATAATGATGCTGGGAATGGGGAAAGATTATGCGGTATCAAACGCTACAACGGTAGTGATAGAAGCCCTCGTTATATCACAACATGTGCTACCAGCCGGCGGGCGAACAAAAAGCCCACGAAAGCAAAGTAAAAGACCCTTCCGCCCTCAAGAAAAGCAGATTTCGACTCGTCAAAAATATCGTCCCTACTAATCATAACTTCCGAATCTACTGGCCAGGAGGGCATCTGAAATACACGAGTTACTCGACAACCCCACGTCCGTAACGACTTTTGGATGCTAGGCTAGGCTCCTTCGCGACAGTCTCTCTCGACCAAGACTTTTCTGACATCCTTTCACGACATTCGGTTTGTCCTGCGGCATGAATCAGGGAAAGAGGAAGGAGGAGGCTAGGAGGGTTGAGAGACGCTCTTAGGTATGCACAGGTCTGCTGCGCCCGGCTGGCCGACCTCTTCGTCATAGGAGAGCCCTGCACCCAGTGGTTTTGAGACTTTTCCCAGCAGCTACACACCCGCAAATGGCCATCGTTTCGTTGGCTGGAGAGGGGAGATAATGCCGGGATAACGGCTCCTCTTAGTGTGTACTCGAATGAAGACCTGTGGGGGTATTGCTGCTGGAAAGAAGTCGTGAGGGAGGCAAAGGAGGGAGTACACTATCCGAGGCATAGATACTCCCGGCCTGTAGGCAGAAAAGACCTACATGTCCTTACATGGTTACAGACTTTTTAGGAAAATAAACAACCACTCACTCACCCCGACGTATGAAGACATCAAACTCTTAAAAACATAAAAAACCCTACAAATCAAAAATTTGAATTATCTCGAGATTAACGGGATTTAAAGACTTCGAATTTGCTTTGTTTAATTTTTTAACAATTTCAAATCTTTAGTCCCATTTCTACCTGCTCTTAACGTTTCTCTTTGATCGTGTTTTAGAGGCCCAGTGATTCGCCTCCCTACCATGGCGATTGAAAATCTGTTGAAATACGTTATATCTTGGAATGCAAAGAATAACTTACTTGTCAGTCTGGCTGATTAGACTATCAAATTCCCCATTCTACATCGAATGATTGATTTATTTTAGGGTCCTAAGCTATGCTCTATATCTCCTAGGAGTCAAAGACCGGTGTACACGGCCGAGATCATGCTTCCCGCATGCCCACCTCGATTTCACCGCATGAACCACTACACAACCAGTAGCTAGTCAAAATAAAGAAAAATAGAAACTCCCATAAACTCCCATATCTAAAGTTCCAAGCACAGTAATCCAGTTTGTGGTTAGAAAAACGACACTTCTCGTCTCGTTTTCCTACCTGCCATGCTTAGTGCTATGACTTAGTTACCACCGTCTCCGCTGAGAGCTGGAGACGGATCCGTAGGTGGGCCCCCGAAGCAGCCGGTTTCCTGCGCGTAATCTATGAAGTTCTCGAGGCACTTTGCGTTACAGGCTGTAGCCTTGTATGTGGATCCAGAACTATCCGGCTCCGTCTATGAACAAAAGCGCGCTAGTGTCACGGGAAAACGCGCTCGATTGGAACAAAACATCTTGCGCGCACGTTGTATATATTCTCCTCCTTAGATAAAATATAAATTCATTTTTGGACCCATAATTGTGAACAACAAATGTGAAGTCCCTTCACACTTAGGCCCGAGAAGCTTGTGGACAAAGTTGTGATGTGACCTTGTCCCTCGTAGTCGACGCGTCTGGCGTGCGTGCAGTCGACAGTGAATGAAATGGAGAGGTGATGTTTCCTCCCCACACACACACTCCATTGAAGCGGTGGTGTCATGCCACAAAGTTTCCGTGGCCCGTACGGGATGAGATCTGTTCACGGAGTAGCCGCCGGGTAAGTGTCTGCTCGCGTGGCTTGTGTCGTCGCATGAGAAGACCCAGATTTCGATACCTTCGTGGACATACTACTTCTCACCAGTCGTCGAGAAGCGCTTGACGTTTCCAGTTCATGATCCGACGAACGTACGCCATTGTGATAGAGCCAGGCCGGCTGTCTTTGCTTGGCAATTGTCGGAGGCCGGAGCGTGCAGCTATATCTGCATCTTCATTTCCCTATATCCCGGAGTGGGACGGTATCCACTGAACCGAGACTCGAGCCTTTTCTGATAACGCTCTAAATTGTCGCATGTCGTCGAGACTTGTTGTGGCAGTTCCCGTCAGCAGTGCCTTCACTGCAGACTGACTATCCGTCAGTACGTTGATTTCATGGATAAATGTGGCGGAAACTAGGATGGTGTCTCGTGGGGAGTTCCATTCTAAAACACAACTCGGGGTTAGATCAAGTTCTCAAACAATTAGGACAGGCTCAGGAACATAGGGTCGTTTCATAGGGGTTGCGTAGTAATACTGTTCGAGACAGAGCTTAGGGCTGTCCTATTATATGATGTACATGTATACCCGGCGTGAAGGAGTATTCTTCTTCACGCAACGTCTTCTGTTTATACTGATACCTATTGCTCACATACTTATCTCTTCTCTAAAGAAGACCGCCGTTATTGTACCAACCTCACCTATTACTCACTTTACCTTTACCTCCTCTGTGAACCCTATACTTTACGCTGAATTCAAACCTCCTCCTCATAACAATCACCACTATACTCCACACCTATGATCTACTTGTACCAAACTCGTGCCCTACGGAATACTAATAACACGGCCCCTTGAGAGTTGATCTGCTGCCTGCCGTCCCTTCTCCCGTTCTCTTTCCCCGACATACCCAGCGCAGCTTCCAGGGCCTTCCTCGCCCCTAATATTTCCGCATCAAGCACTTCACCACCATACTTGATGCCATATCCCTTCAACAGAGTTTTTCTATCCCTCTTCAAGACGAACCCCCATGCTGAGCGACCATTACTCTCCGACAATCCATCCGGGTCGGCGCAGATATCTGATGCCGGCACACTATCAGCAAGCCGAGTTGCCATCTCTTCTTCATCTATCCTTTAGTTGAAACTCGAAAGATAGCTTGGGGGCGGCAAAGGCTCAGCATCTTCCGCATCCGAGAGTTCTCGGTAATTACGCTGTACTCGTAAAATGTGGATCTCTGGATTCTTGGGCGCCAGAGAATATTTCTTGTACTTCCGTGTTCCATCGTTTGGACGCATAGCGGCGCGAGTCCGGAGCGAGTGACGG